CCCGGAATTCAAGCCCCGGGTGTGACGGTATCCCATATGAGATGCTTCGCCACCTTCCCCAGGGTGCGAAGCGGCGCTTGTTGGACTTGTTCAACAACATATGGGATTCGGGCTCTTACCCCGATCGTTGGCGAGAAGCGCTTATCATACCTATCCTTAAAGAGGGTAGGGATCCAGGCCTGGCTACGAGTTACAGACCGATTTCGTTGACAACCTGCTTGAGCAAAGTCCTGGAGTCTATGGTGAACGGTCGTTTGACCTGGCACCTGGAGACAAAGGGATTTTACAGCCAGTATCAGGCGGGATTCCGTAGGAATCGCTCTGCGGTGGATCATGCATGTCATCTCGAGGGCGACCTTCAGGACACGTTCTTGAACAGAGAGCACGCTCTGGCCGTGTTCTTCGACCTCGAGAAGGCGTATGATACGACTTGGAGATACGCGATACTACGGAAATGTCACGATGTCGGTCTAAGAGGCAAATTGCCGCGGTTCATCCGGGGTTTCCTAGAGAACCGTAGGTTTCGAGTCAGGCTGGGAACTGAGCTCTCTAGGGCATGTTCAGGAGAACGGTATCCCTCAGGGTTCGGTGATGAGCGTTGCGCTTTTCTTGGTGTCGGTGAACGGTATCGCTGACGGTGTCCCCCCGCAGATAAAGAAAATGCTCTTTATCGACGACCTCTGCTTCTACAATTCGGGTAAGGATCTGGCGGAGGATAAACGATGTGGCTGCGATTGCCGAGGAAACCGGGTTTACCTTTTCTTCTTCGAAAACGGTGTGTGTTCACTTTTGCAAATTGAGGAGGGCCCATAGCCCCCCTCAACTCTGCCTGAGGAGCACACCTGTGAGGTACGTGGAGAAGGTGCGGTTCCTCGGCCTCCTGTTCGATAAAAAGTTGAGATGGCAGGCACACATCGACGCCGTCGAGGTCCAGAGCAGGAAAGCCCTCTCACTGTTGAGATTTGTTGGTCGCTTTAGGTGGGGAGCGGACAGGGAGACTGCTAAAAAATTTTGAGTCTCTGCTTTGTTCCAGGATCTTTTATGGATGTATGGCTTATTCCTCGGCCCGAAAAACGCACCTGAGAAAGCTCGATAGGCTCTATTACCAGGGTCTCAGAGCAATCTCGGGGGCGTTCAGGACCAGCCCCTTGGCCAGTCTGTGCTTCGAGCTGGGGGTCTTGCCTCCCGAACTTCGGAGAGAGCAACTCACCGTCGGTTACGCGGCCGGGTTCTTGGCCAAGACGGAGCACTCCCTCGCTATGAAAATCCTCCACTGCCCGTACAGAGTAGTTTACGACAGGCTTCGCTCGCGGAAGCGACCCCTCGAGATCCGCTTCGGTGAGTCCTTAGGGAGGGCCGGATTGGCGCTGGGGACGGTGCTACGTGTGGGGCACCGCCCGACACCCCCCTGAACCCTTCCGGCCGTACTCGTCTGCGACGATCTGGCGAACTTGCCTAAATCGTGTACACCGCCATACCTGTGCAAGGCTAAGTTCCTTGAACTTAGTAATAGATACGCCGGTTTTCGTCTGATTTTTACAGACGCGTCCAAGACTGGCGATGGTGTGGCGTGTGCTGTCTAGGTCTAGGCTATACGCGACGGGTTCTCTGTGGACCCTCTCGTCGTGCTCTTGTTAGAGAAATACGCGGAGCTGGAGCCTCTTGGAAAAACGGTGGTTGTTGTCTGGATTCCCGGACACGTCGGCCTGGAGGGTAACGAACGCGCGGACGAGGCGGCGAAAGCCGGTACGTCTCACCCTCCGGATCGGATCATCGCGATCAGGCCCCCTGACGCTAAACACGCAGTTAAAAATATGATAAAAGAAAGATGGCAGCGTCAGTGGGCGGGGTCGTCGGAGAGGCTCTTACGAGTCAAGAGCACGACCGGAAGATGGCCCTCAGAGAATCTGTGCAGGAGTCGAGTGATCGTCCTCACACGACTGAGGATTGGTCATACTCGGTTGACACATGGACACCTGCTTTTGGGCCAAAGCCCGCGCAGGTGCCCCTTATGCAGAGAAAGGTTGCTCGATGTGTCCCACATAATAGAGGCGTGTCATGCCTTGGCTCCATACAGAGAGCGTGTAGGCATGCCGCCGGATTTAAGAAGGGTTCTCGAGCACGGTAGCAAGTTTCAGAGTCCCCTGTTCCGCTTTTTAGAGGAAATTGGGGTTTTTCATTGTATATAGTATGTCTTATGTGTTGTGTCTATATGTTTTGTCTGAGTGCATGTATTTATTAGCGTGAATGGTGAGGGGTGAGGGTGAAATATAACGCCATCATCGCCCCTCGAACGATGAAAGCGAGTGAGTGTGTGTTCGGGGTCGATGGCGGAATATTTATAAAAGTACCCCATCGACCCCAATCTAGTTTAGTTTAAGTGTAGGTCGGTGGAGGAATATCAAGTACTCCACCGACCAAACGGAATGTGTGAACTGTATGGATGTATTTAAGTGTATACATGTATTTATTTGTATGAATGTAGTGTTTGAACGGGTATAGAATATAAAATATAGACTTAGGGGGGGGGGCTGAAATGACCTAGATGTCGGAAGCCCCAGCAAAAAATAAAAATAAAAATAAAAAGAAATAAAAAAATAAAAATAGCTCGGATACCATCCTCGTCCAATGCACAAATTGTGGTTGAGTAAAGATGGTATATGAATAGGCATTCAAAAATATGGAGGGAAAAGTCTACAAAAATGTGGTAGATTAAACAACAAATAGGTATATAGATAGATATATATGAAGAGAGAGAGTATGAATGAGGGAAGTAAAGAGAAATATAATGTATTTGAAAAATAAAGAGAGAGAGTGTGTGAGTGAGTAAGAGAGTGTGAGTATGAGCAAGAGAAAGAGAAAATTATACTGTTAGTTGCAATAATATAAATACACAAAAATAAACATAAAAAAGCAGAACGAGATGAAAATTTAGTTCAATCCATTATTTGATCTATGTTCTATCTATGAAACATACACATAAAGTAAGTTTGACTAAAAAAACAGTGGAATGAGAAAAAGAGAACGTCAACAAAAAGGATAAAGGAAAAAGGTGTAAACGAGAGGGCGGTAAATATATATACACTTATATATA